AGGAAATAAATTTATATTAGTCAGTAGTTGAAAAGAAAATTTTTTAAAGGCGTATAAATTTTTTTTAATTATTTATTAATATTATTTACCTAATATAATCAAATAATATGCATTAAATATCTCGCATCACGTTGGACAAGCGATTCATATGGTTGAAAAATATTCAACTGAAAAGAATTAGGTGTGCTAAAATTCTTCATCACTTGCAACCGCTATTCAAAAATGAAAATCTCAATGCTAAGAAGAGGAAGTTGATATATAACCAAATAATTCGTTCGTCACTTCTATATGGATGTGTAGCGTTTAGCAAAGCCTCAAACACTACTATTCGCCAGCTAGAAATTGCACATATCCAGGCTCTGAGAAGACTTATTAAGGTACCATGGTACATTAGGACGAATGACATCCTCATAGACCACAATATTGTTCCGATCAAAAAATACATAAAGAATAGAGCTCTGAAGTTATTTACGAAAACTAACAGACTTACCAACACCGCGTGATCGAATCTCAGAATAGTTACAGGCTCCTCGGGGTGGTATGTAAATCTGAGGCCAATTATAGCTTAGTTTGATGAAGTGATAAACAATGATCCAGTCAAGGCATAGGGAGAGGCTTTGAAGAAACCTCGTTGTTAATAGAGAGTAAAAGTGCTCAAGTGCACTGACTCAACTAGCTTTAACATAATAATTAAACATTATCATGAAAAATCATGATTTTTTTAATAATAATTTATAATATAATACTCATAAAATATACAGGATCTATAAATATAATATAGTATTACTTTGTTTGTATTCAACCTTATGACGATTGGTTTTAAGTGGTGTTTTGGTATAAGCTATACCTAATTTATTAGATTTCTAATTTTGATTTTATGTTTTAGCGCTGTTATAATATTCTTATGCGGTTTTCGATTGATAAATCTGGGGTAACTTTTTCATTTCAGATTCACATTTAGTGCAGTTTTCATTTTTGATTGGTAAATGTCGAGCAAAATGTATCACACTCGAGATAAATTTATATGATTCTAGATATTTTTGCCATAGTAGCAAGATTACCCTGAAATTAACAACTGTTTTATATGATATATATATTATATACATACATTATATACATATATTATATATGTACATATTCGACATATGTATTTATGAAAAATATAAATGCCTACCACAACTACCATAATTACAAAAATGTTTGATTCCTCTAAAAACGTTTGATTGAACAACAAAATTCGATAGATCTTGATTGAATCTAGATTTACTAATCAAAAACGCTATTACTTATTCAAATGGGCATCAAGACCCATTTCGGCGTGGTTCTTTAGGCGATTTTATTTATTACGCGTCTTCGCCAGTCTCGTCAATCAAATTCGGTTAGTGTCTATTCAACTTGATCACTCCTCCGGAAATACGGTCTACCTCTACACCTTCTTTCTCCAACTGTCCCTTCAAATTTCTTTTTAACTGTAGCATGAACAAGCCAGAAAAGCCGGTAAATATTAATTCGCTGTATTATATTAATGTCGTGATAAAGCTTGCATAGTTTCATTCGAATATGAAAGACGTCGCCAACTCGTAGAAGACCAAAGATCTTAAGAAGAACTTTTCACTTTTATGACACACTCAGCTAAAATATTCCAATTATAGCTTCCGCATAATCTGGTGTAAGAAAAATTGCTTTACCCCACAACCGTTTTTTTAGTTCTCCTAAAATAGAGCAAATGACTATAGAGTGAATAAGGTTCTCGTGTGCTTTCGGGTTGCTCAGAGGTTACGTCTCATCTGCACCTTGAACGTGAGGAAGAAAGTTTAGTGGTAGAACTTTAACTCTTGCTTTGTATATGGTTGCTATTCTTTGATGGTATTTACATCAAAACACTTAAGAAAGTTTTCGTTCTCACCTAGATTTTAGTTGAGTTGTTATATATATAAACCTAAAACTACTCTGACGATTTGTGACGATTGCGCATAACAGCTTTTCTTGAAATTTACTTACGCTTTCAGGATTTAAAAGATCCATTTTAATATATAAGGCTAGGTTAGGTTATACTGGCGATCCCAAGGGATCTACTCAGGCCTATAAACCCATTGTGTTACCGTATAATTAAAAACCTAAGAGTTACAACCACTTAGAACCTTTTATTTTAATATATTAATATTGTACATTTTTGTGTGTTTTGTAAACTGTTTGAAAATTGTTTCATCAAAGAAAATTTTTACTCGGTCTTTCTCAAGACATATATTAATGAAATAAGTTATCAAACAAAAGAATTTGCCTTCGAAAATAATAAAAAAAAATATCTTGCTTTTGAACAAAGAAATCTTTTAAAATTACTATAGATTATACAAATATTTCAACAAATCCATTAGTCCTTGTATTAATTAATATAAACGTATTATATTTAAGTGAATCACGCTACTTAGTTAAATTTGAAAAGTCGTTGAAGTATGTCACTCATACGTGCTTCACCATTTGTGTTACGTTAGATTTCAGATTTCCTGTCAACATCATCATTTACATAAAGAAATAATAAAAAAAAAAAATAAATAAATAAATTAATGGGAACAATAAATAATGTAGCACAATTCAATTTAGACACTACCATATGACAGTAGATATTATTTCCTATGATCTATGCATCGGAATTCTATAAATTAATAGTATCTGATCTATGCAATTGCCACCTACCAGAATGACCGTTGGGCGGCAAGCAAGCTGGCGACCAAAATCTTTATTTCATTGCAAAATTACAAAATTATTCTCTGTGAATGAGAGCACAACCACTGTAAACAGAAACACTTGCACTGCAAACTAATTACTCATATTTAAGCACCAGAAGCATCAGAAGCACCAGAAAAATAAAGATATGGACTCGGAATCGAAATCGGAATCGGTCTCAAGTAGAAAAATAACAGCAAAATTTGCAAATAATTTTTAATTTTTATTACAATTTACACACCAAAACGAAGCTTCCCACTCGCTTATGGCAGGCATAAATAAAGGCAGACAGTGGTGCGCTCTTTGGGTTCAGAAATATTTTGGATACATATTTTTGTGATATAGGTTGGTAGGTAGATTGGAGTAGCGACCTTGTTTCCAAGAAAAGCCCACTTGAGCTCAAATGATGAGCATTGTGGTACCACACGAATAGCATGGGTGTGTACATAGATTTAAATTAGTATACAGCCAACGCCGAAAAAGGTAACGACTCCCCCATTAGGTAAAGGAAAACCAACTTGACAGTTCTATAAACTTGGCCAGGTTCCTAACATTATAGAATGGCAGCTCAGTCAGATCGGTGAGGAAAGGAGACCCGAAGATTTTTAATCTTCTTCTAACTAAAGAAGGATACTGACACATAAGATATAGCAAGGTCTCCTCATCTTCAGAGCCACAACCTCGACAAAAATCATTATAGGATAGACCCACTCTCATAACATGCCTTCCTATTTCGCAGTATCCCGTTAGCACAGATACCGTGGTGCTGAGCAGGTTCTACCTTAGTTGAAGTAGCTGACTAGTTCGTTTTTTGTCTAAGTCAGACCAAGTTAACCTATATATCTGACAATGAGGTTCATCAGCTTGGCTATGCTAAGGTATTTTTGTTTAATTGTCAGTTTAACTGTAGCAAGTGGAACGCCTATATCTGAAAAGTGAATGTTAGTGAGAAGAGCGCCAGCTTTGGTGAGGTTGTCTGCCCTACAATTACTCGAGATATCCCTGTGACCAGGAAACATAACTGATATAATGAAGTTAAATGTCGAAAGAGTTGTTTTGATGTTGGTAAAAGTAAAGATTTTGTTGGATGCTTTATCATATATTAAAAATCAAAAGTGGCATTTTTGGATATGTTTCACACTACAAAATTGGAAAATGCTTTAAGTTTACATAAAAAAAATAATTTAATCTACATGGAAAATATATATTAATAGAATGCCATCACCAAAATGGTTTGCAAATTTTGCTTGTACTGATTGATAACTGAGAAAATGACTGTGTTTAATGTAGACGACTAATTCGTCAAGTGGTTTTCTTTTGTAGATCTAATTTACGGGGACTTAACTGAGCACCTCAGTCTAAGAAATGGATGCCGAATGCAGTCTAATTCTTTTCCTTTAACTTTCCTCAAGTGATCTCCATTTGAAAACTGTTGGAAGGAACAGGAACAGTAATAATTTTTTCACACTGTAAAGTACCAAAAAATAAAGATGAAATGATAATAAAGATGAATAAAAATGATAATAAAATTTCTGAAAGGTTATATTGATCAAATTGTGCATTTAATGGCCTTGTGCTAAGAAAGTCTAGGATACAATATCAAAACTTGATGTATGAATATAACAAGTTTCTACAGAATTTGCTCACTCATTTTTATGTCAATAGGTTGTTTCTCAAATGTTTAAGAAATTAACGCCTAATAAGTGGAATTATCACTTAAATTATAAATATATTCTCTACTATAATATTAAATTAATTGCATCACATCACGGAATAAAAAAGATGAATCGACTCGAACCACTGCGAGTCGATAAATAAATACTTTATAAATTTATTTGATTTATAAATTGTCAACTTTCATATCATTTTGAGCATTGCCATAGGTTCAAGGTGTTTTATAAACCTCTCAGTGGATCCCTTTGGATCGTCGGTACTATCAAACCTAACATAACCTAGTGCCTAAATTTGTAATATCAACATTGCTTCCATGTTGAAAATTAGAACGAACTATAAAATTTAAAAAAATAATCACAGTTCATGAAACGTTTTAACTATTGATACTTGAGAAACAACTTCTTAAATTTATTCGTTTTTTTACACATTTTATATTAGATAGTAAATAGATTCCAAGTGTCTATATAAACGAATAAAGTTAAGACCTTACTAATGTTCCAGT